TATATATATATATATATATATATATATATATATATATATATATATATATATATATGCATATATATGTATGTATGTATGTATATATTGGTAAAATTAATTTTAAAAATAAAAAATTATTAAGAAATTTTCAAATAAACATGATAAGGAATAATAATAGAATATTACATGCTCCAGTGATTATTTTTAACATTGTATCAAACAATAAATTCGAATTAAATAATTAATGTAATGATATTTTTTTTTGAAAATCATCAAGAGAGTAAAGTAAAATTTTGAGTCTCAATATATTAACAATCTTCATAAATTATATGAAGATAGAGTCTATTGATCCATCTATTGATCAATTTTGAATATATTTTAAATTTTTTTGTAAGGTGTTTAGGAAATAAAAATAATGACCTACTTTTAAAATATATTTTTTATATATTGAAACTTAATTTTATTTGTTTATTTAATTTCAATGTAATATATATTATTAATTTATGATCACGCTTATTTCTTTTCATGTATATTAATTAGAGCCAAAATAAAAGTGACAATTATTAATTATTTTTTAAATAATAAAGTTTTATATTAAAGTAGACATTTTTAGTAAGTAAAATTTATAAAAAAAAATATTAAGAATTAAATTAAAGTAATGGTAAAATAGAGTAATGAATAGATACACAATAACCCATAAAAAAGTAAAGCAATAACAAAATTATGTTTCTAAAACTATTTAGGTTTCTTGTTATCATTCTTATTAGATTTTTGTTAGCGTGAAGCTATATTTTTGTTAGAATGAAATTATAGAATTATTCTCGATTGTCTAAAATACAAATATTTTTTTTGTCTTAAATGCAAATATATCATCCTATTCATTTTTATTTGTAAAGTTACTTTATCATGCTTTTCTTTAATTTCAATCTAACATATATTATTGATTTTATCTGTCACGATCCAAAAATGGACGTGATAACACTCATCTGATCCCACCAAGACAAGTCAGCCTAAAACTCGACCATCACAATAAAATACAGAAATTTCATAAGTTACTCAAAAGTACCCCCAAAATCTGGTTGTCACATGTACAATCCTCTAAAATATTACAATTTATTCAAAGAAAAGAAATAAGTCTCAAATGACATTGTTTCTCGAATAGAACAAGATCATAAATAGGAGTAAGAAGGTTTGCTGAGATAACAAGCAGCTACCTCATAATTTTCCATAAGAAGCCTCGGATAAGGAGAAGAGAAATATCACAAAGGTCCCGGCTAGTAACCTACAAAATAATTGTAGTAGCAAGGGATGAGTACCAAACCACACGGTACCTAGCAAGTAAACATCTAAAACTAAGAGGATAAAATACAGGTACTCCTTACACACCAATCGAACCTCCACAACTACAACCTGCATAAAAATCGGTCAAACCTAACATTTCACAGTTTTCATAGCACCCAGCTCATCGAAATCATTTTGACAAATTACACATCCTCAACTACAAACTCAATATTCAACTATCACAACTTTCACGAAAAGACATTCACAATTTCAGCAACACATAAAATCAAGTTCGTCAAATAAAGGTAATCAAATATCAAGTACTTCTCAACCACCAATAAAACACATAATCATCAAGAATGAAAAATGTCATGGGATGCAATGCAATATGACATCATGAAATGATCTGCCTCAAAATACCAAGTACACTCTCAACCGTATATACATGATACTCCTCAAAAATACATTGAGAGTTCATGACCCATGGGGGACTCGCGAGGTCCATATACCAACACAGACGATCTCCACGTGTCTGTGAGGACGATCTGACGCACAATTATAAATCAAATAAAATTGGCACGGACGATCTCCACGTGCCCAAATCATAATCATAACTTTTTTATCGCACGAACGATCTCCACGTGACCAAATAATCATAACTTGATATCAACACGAACGATCTTCACGTGTTAGAACTTTACTCATACCAGTCTCATGTCAATGCATGTGCACAATATGATATCAAATAAAGGGTATGATGCAACATCTCAATAAATCAAATGTCAGCATGACATATAATCACCACAATTATCACAATTATACGGATTTAGTAAAGAATAAAATCGCACATAATAATTCAAGACAATAATATATCAGCTAATACCCATATGCTTTGACTTTCTCGGATTACAATCCACATTCTATAAAAATAAACTTTGCTTTTATAACACCGACACTCATACCATTCTGAACTCACACACAAACAATTAATCACGTTGTCTTTTATTATCCCTTTTCATCATTAGAATTAATCAAGATGGACATGTCTAACCCTTCACCAAGTCCCATTACTCCCAAAACACATACCACAAAGAAATACACGCATTTCATACACTTATCAAGAGTTTAGAAATTCACTTGCCTGAATCCTCTATCACTTTATCTCTTCATTCCCCTCGACCGCAAGTATGACGGACCGTCATAGGCACAACGGTACATCGAGGGTCTTCGTTCTAAAACACTTCAACTCTTGGAATCTGGGTACTGGGATCACTTCTCTGAACTTCACGACGAACCTGCAGGACGGACCGTCACAAGCTTCGTAATCCCATACTTGGTCAGACTTCCCCATCTTCCTTCTGCAGCTGCACTACGCTTCCACCTACGGACCGTCACAAGCACGACAGACCATCACAAGCTCCATAGGTGGTCTCTTCTGCATTTCTTTGCTCAAAATCTCCGCATTCCGCTTTGGACAGATTTCCTGCAAAAGAAAGAGAAACTTATATAAAAATTGGCACAAAAAGGCTTTTCGACACACTAAACTTAAGGAAAAAGTATTAATAATACCATGAAACCACGGTATATCAACACCGTCAACTTAAAATCATTGTTTGTCCTCAAGCGACGCACTATGGCTCACTACACAATCTTTGTACAATAGTATCCATGTTTTATCCTTTGCAATCATTTGGCTATCAATCCCGATTAATCTCATCAAATATAAGCATGCTATCACTATTAGGATTGGATTTTGTGGGATCAGAACATGATACAGACTCACCACGCACTAACACCTATCCTCTTCAATTTCTCACCGAGGTGCTAACAATTCTGGTATTACAACTAGTGTCCTTACTTTAAAACAAAATCCTCCTTTTTTGACACAATGATTTCAGTTTGAGTATAAGGATTACTTTTCAACACTCACTCTCAGAACAAAGTCACACTCATTCATACATTTTGCCATAAGCTTGCCCTTATTTTCACTGCCTTAAGTTCACTGTACAACCCTTAGTGACTTTTTTCCCTCCTTGACATATCGGCTAAACCTTCCACTGTCTCTCATTTTATCTCGCCCTGTTTCTCATATTCTTTCACCTTGCTATTTTCTCTTCTTTCCTCATTTGTGTAAGTGACTCTCTTCTTTTCTTGCTTGTATTTCTTGTGGATTTTTCTTTTTCTTTACTTTTCTTTTCATCTAATTCTTGAGTCACTTTACTTTTGTTCTTTCTCTCTCTTTGTTCTTTCAACCCCACTTTCCAGAGCATTCCTCATAGTAGCCACCCTTAACTCATGGCTTTGCCATGAGTCAAGGTACACAA